TTATGTCAGTGTTGGTCCTCCAAATTGCAGAACTTGGTAATTCAATGTCTGAATCAGGTGTGTTGGAGCAGGGAAAAACATAAAACCTGCTGGGCTGTGGCCCTCGAGGAACAGGATTGCCCACCCCTGCTCTAGACTGAGAACGTTCCCAACAGAAACTGTAGGCTGAGTGCACGTCACGGGACGACACACGTCTCACATGGTAAATCACTGCTGTGTCAGCACAAAGGTCAGGCTTTGGGACCAGGCTTCTTCAAGAGGACTAGAGTTTTTTTAATGTATCAWTAAAAACGTTATGAACTGATCAGAGTTTGTTAAAATGACACACAACAGCTGCTGAAGCTGCAACATCACTACACACCTCCTCTATCCAGGCCAGCACACTTTATTCTTTCTGTGTCCTCCTCTGGCTCCATAAAATAATAGTGCTCACCCTCATGCTGCTTGTGAAGTTTACAGAGGTTTACCAAATTTGCATAAAAAGAATAACAACTTGAAAATGGACACAATGAGCTGAGGGTGTCCTGACTATTSGCAGGTAAAAGAGGGTGTCCACGAAGCAAGCCGCAGCCTCTGTAGCCTCTGTAGCTGCATGCTGAGAGAAATAACCTTTGTTGTAGAGCTGGGCGGTATGACCAAAATTTTATATCACAGTATTTTCAACATTTACACCGGTTTCACGGTATATCACGGTATTTTTCTTTTCATCACAGCTCAGCTGATAATAAAATGTACAAAAACTGCTTATTAACTTTTTTCTTTAACTGTACCTTTGTCTGTGTCTCTGTTTCCCTCCTCTAAACGTCTTTTCTCCTCCTCCTGGTTGGAGACAGTAGTCATGCATTTTGGTCCGGTCGTGAAGGAGGAGGGTTAAGAAAAGATCATTGGGTCTATTGTTTTATGTTATTTAATAAAGATTAACAGCACGACTCAACTTGCACACCAGTCAACTCAATTCCACTACAAAACTACTTCCCCCGGGCTTTTCACAATAGAAGCACGCTAAAGTCTCCATGCGTCAACTCATCTCATTATTAACATCACATGTTAATCTAACCGTTCTCGTCACTGAAGAGGTGTTTACTACATTCGGCAGTGGTGAAAATGGGATGTTTTTTTAACGTCAGTCAATATAAGTAGCTGAATCGCCACCCGCCGCTTCAACAGACTGCTCAACAATAACATTAGCATGCTAACGCACATAGTGGTGCAGCGAGGAAAAGCGTCCCCCGGGAAACATTTCACTGGTGGCCGYGACGAAACATTCCGCACATGTTCAGGCTATTTAAACCGGTATGYCGGTATTCAGAAAATTCATATCATAACAAAAATAAAAACGTTATTCAGTACGAACCAGTATACCNAACTTGAGGCGTTGGATGTGATTTTGAAGCTGAAATCGTGTTCGGTGTGAACGCAGCATTAGCTGATTGGAGCATCAGCTGCAGTAATGATGGTGTTGTTCTGGTCCATCCTGATGAAGAAGGAACTGAGCTGAAGGACTAAACTGGATGGAAGCATTGCAGTGTTTCCCCTACCATTATACAGCCCCCCACCCCCGCCAACGAGACGGCCCGCCCCTCTAAGAATTTCACGGCATGTAGTCATTTTTATTTAAATAAGGTCAGATCAAGTCGAGAGCTATTTTTTGCGCCCCTCCATATCCACCTCTCACCAAACTCGGGGAAAAAGACGGCGCAGAGCGAGGCTGAGCGCTGTGTGTGGTCCTCACAAAGATAGGAAGACGTGTGTGTGATTAGATGCGCAGCTCTGCTTTTAATCACGTTGCACCGATGCGACAGCTTTGCAAGCTACTTTTTCTTTCTTTAAAAAAGAAAATGTGACAGGTGAAGCCACAGCATAGTTACTACCTTATCAATAATTACTGATGGACTGATGTGTGATGGATGCATGGATGTTGGATGGATGTATGATGGATGAATGGATGGATGATGGATGGATGGATGGATGGATGGATTGATGGATGGATGATGGTTGGATGGATGGATGATGGATGTTGGATGGATTATGATGGATGGATGGATGGATGGATGGATGGATGGTTAGATGGATGAATGGATGGTTGGGTGGATGGATGGATGATGGTTGGATGGATGATGGATGGATGGATGGATGGATGGATGGATGGATGGATGGATTGATGGATGATGGTTGATGGATGATGGATGGATGGATGATGATGGATGGATGGATGATGGATGGATGGATTGATAGATGGATGATGGATGGATGGATGGATGGATGGATGGATGAATGGATGGATGAATGGATGGATGGATGGATGGATGGATGGATGGATGGATGGATGAATGGATGGATGGATGATGGATGGATGGATGATGGATGGATGGATGGATGATGGNATATTTTAAATGCCTTTAAATGAATCTGTGTTAAGTTCTGTCCATCTGCAGGTTCAAGAGAAACGGATCCTGATAAATGTATGTGTGCTTGTGGATCGTTTCTGTGTGGGTTGTTGTCACAATGAAGAGACAGAGGACTGAGTCAGTGTGTGTGTGTGTGTGTGTGTGTGTGTGTGTGTGTGTGTGTGTGTGTTGAGAGGTTTGTCCTCCACTCACTGACCTGCTCCTGTCCAAACAGCTCCGTCCCAGGTCAGCGAGGTGATCAAGGAGAAGGTGCAGCAGCGCAGCGTCCAGCTCTCCTGGCAGGAGCCCCAGCAGCCCAACGGAGTCATCACAGAGTACGAGATCAAATACTACGAGAAGGTGAGTCCACAGCAGGTGTGTTTGTCCCTCTCTGCTGCTTCCACCTCAGCTTCATCAGCGTTTCTCAAATCTTCATCTTCAGCTGCTGTGGAGAACAGAACCGTCTTTGTCTTATAGTGACAAGAATGAATGAGGTGCTCATAAGATTTTAATCAGGCTGTTGTCCTTCTCCACCCACCACACACACACACGCACACACACACACACACACACTGACAGGGGGCTGCGCTGCCACAATTAGCGGTGTGTTACTGTTATCTCCTCTCCTTGCACACATTATCCTGCTGCTTTGCTGTATTTCAAGTCTGAACACATCAGCTTTTTACAGCCAGGTTTAATGGAGCGCATTTAACTCAGCAAATCAAAGGCAGGGGAGCAGAGAGTTCTGGTGCCGGTCCTGCGGGCCACACACTCTGACACATCGCTCTCCTGTGTCACGTACTGTGGTCCKGCGCTGCCCGACTGGAAAAGTGGAAAATTGGAAACAAGGACAACACCCTGACCAGATCCAGGCGTTCCATTTGGGCTTTCAYCAAGAAAACATTTAAAGATCAGCTACAGAGCAGACGTCAGGCTGCCAGCTCCTCAGCAGGACAATCTTCACAGGATTTTAACTYTGCCTGTGGACAGTTAACCCGAGTTAAACACCTTCTGTAATTTACAATACAGCTATCAGGGGCCTGTTGTCTTTTTATGTTCTTCTTAAGGCCTTTGATCAAGAATGCATATCTCCTGCTGACTTCATCCTCAGCTCATGTCAAGCTGAGAAATGATGAAGATGTTAGTAAAATCATGAATAAAACAATGAATAAAATGTCAGTACTGTCAAACCAAAATACCTTAGTATCTGACAGAAAATCTGATGGACTGTTTGTTTGTTTGTTTGTTTGATAGCAAAGCTTTAGTCACCACCAGCCTCATTGGTTTAGACTTATGGTGCGTTCACACCGATCACGATTTCAGCATCAGGAGCATCAGGTTTACATGCAAAGTCTATGGTGGACGTGCTTCAAGCAGTGTCGGGAAGTGCTGCTGCGCCTCAAGCGCGATTAGAGCAGAGCGATTTGAACGATCTGAGCGTTCGACGTGCTTGATGCACCAGACTTGGTCCATCAGACCAGTCCTTCGATTCGGGCCAAAGGAAGGACGTATTTGTCGGACGCATCGGAGGAGTCTTCTGTTTTGGACGTCCTTCGTCGCGGCGCTGTGACGTATGCGGCCGACAAATTTGACCTTCGGAGGACCCGGCCTGCCGTTTTGGACACAGCCWTTGTTTGGYTGTAACACRGCCTCCCTCCATCTTCATGTTCTTCTTTCAGCGGTTCCCTCCTCAGATAGAATGTTAGATGTTTCTCTCAACATGTTGTCAAATGAAACAAAAACCAAATGTTTTGCTGTTCTTGGCAGGACCAGAAGGACCGGATCTATTCTACTGTCAGGTCCAAGTCCACCTCTGCCACAGTGAACAACCTGAAGCCCAGCACAGCCTACATCTTCCAGATCCGGGCTTTTACAGAGGCTGGGTTTGGTACCTTTGGACCCCGCCTGGAGATAACCACCAAGGAAGAGGCGACTGGTAAGATGTACCTGTTCCACCTGCAGAAACTCATTTCACATGGACAAGTTTCTCATTTCATGTTGGACTCAATGAGTTAGTTTTTATTRTCATAAAGCAGTCCCAGCTTCAGCCTGTCACCATGAGCCGTAAAACTGTTTCCTGTTGTTTCATTCCCAAACCTTGGCTCTGCAGCACTCAGTTTTTATTATGTAGTAAAACAAACCCTCAATGAAAAACGCCTCGAATTCACTTTACACTAAAGTTTAGGAACATTTATGTACCATTGGTTAAAATTTACATTAAAAAAGTAATCTTGTGCAGTAAAATTATAATTCTTTCATTTTCATTTTTATAATTCTTTAGTTTATCAAATAGTCAAGATAAAATGAGCAACATGTCAGCTGACGGAGCTGGTTATCAGTGAAACCGCAACATTTTTGTTGCGATCTAGCAGCTTGTGTACATGTCACTGGTGATCGGAGTCTCTAAACTTTTCAGTRACAGCCCCCACAGAGCTGGGAAGCTTCCTGCAGCTGTGAAAGCACGCATGCTCCAACAGCCGACACACGACTACAGAAAAGTTTCTTCTAAACTAGCAACAGTTACAATAAATTACAGACAGCAGAGTGTTTTTTCTGTTACTTGGACTTTGTAGCTTGTAGGAGAAACACAAAAATAATCCTAGGTCCAAACAAACTTTAGTTTATTCCCCACGTTCGGACGTACACATGCTGAACGGCTGAATACATCACTACACCTGTTCTCTATAGACTGAATACATCAATACATCCGTTAACTAATATAAACTGAATATATTACTAAACATGTTCACTAAAAACTAAATATGTCAATACACCTGTTCACTATTGAGTGAATACATCACTGAACCTGTTCACTAAAAGAGTCTGCATGTTCTTTCTGTTTATGGTCAGATCTCGTAACTGATTACTTTGTTTGCCGATAACATATTACACTTGTATAAACTGGACTTGTGTAAAGCAGATCTGTATTCAAAGAATCCAGATGCTTCAAAAGATTCTGTCTTGTTTTATGTAATGGATTTTCTAAGGTTTAGGCACAATCTTGTTTTCATACTTTTCATTTTGTTTGTATTCATCAAACCACAGAGRAGTGATCAATGTGTGAAAACATGAAAATAAAAAGAAGACATGYAATTTTTATGTCAAATACATCCTACCACAACCACAGTTTTATCCATTTTTTAAATATGTTAAGCAGTTACACCTGCAACTGTTTAAAATTTTGATAAAAGTTAAACCTACAAACCCGCTTACATCACATTTACATGTTTGGGTTTAGAGCCTCCTCCACACCTTACATTCCAYATGTCTGCATCAAGCACAGAAATGTTGATTTGGTATTATTTTTATCACTAATGTTTCCAACGTACAGTGAAAAGCTCAGTGTGTAACACAGACAGGTCTCCTTTGTTCCAACAGTCGCTGCAAAAAAAAAAAAAAAAAAAAAAAAGCACCCCGTTTTCAGCCTCTTTCTATCTCCTGTCAGTATTTTTCTGTATTTATACAGCACAGATACACTTGATTTAAAATGCATGAACTTCTCTCTCATCCGGCACTTAGATTGAATGGATACGAAGCTGCTTCAAGCTGTTCTTTCGAGCAATCAGCAGTTTGTCAACTCAAACAGTCCAAGCTCTCCGAGAGTATGCCTGGGAAACAATTCAGGCTGAAAGTGCCTTTGTTTGAGATGAAGGGCACTGCCGTCGCCGTCTGGGACTATTAAACCCACTTTCTGAAACAGTAGAGCTGTGTGGATAAGGACGACTAAAATAGAAAAAATATGCCTCCTCCTCTCTCGGTGGGGGTGGGGAGCGGGTGATCAATCTTCATGCTGCTCATTGGGACTTAATTATTGTCTCTATCGGTCCTGCAGATTGCAGTTTTCAGTGTTGTTCAGTTCCCGCTGAGCTTGTGTCTCTGTGTTTGTGTTGCTGTCCGTTTGTCTCATCAGCTGCGATTGTCTCCAGCGAGCAGAACCCCGTCATCATCATAGCGGTGGTGGCCGTGGCGGGGACCATCATTCTGGTCTTCATGGTGTTCGGCTTCATCATTGGGAGAAGGTACGCTCTCGCGGGCCCCATTGACTCTCCGCTCCTGTGAGTTTGCGCTTGTCAATTAGCCTTTCTGTCACTCACAGGCCTCCACGTCTGTGGAGCTGTCACACACGCGCACACACGTGCACCAATCATCTTGTAGCATGCTGTGCTAATGGCTTGTGATGCACCATCAACCCCCACCCTCTCATACACCACGTCCACCCCCACAAGAAAAGTTTGAGCTGCTTCTGGTAAGCCATTATGAGACAGAGACTCCACAGAGAGATCGCTGCAGCCCTGCAGTCCCGTCTGAGACCAGGAGTGTAAGAAAACAGACCAGGAGAGTGAGACAGGAGTGTGTGACATGAGTGTGTGAGACCAGGAGTGTGTAAGTGACAGGAGTGTGTAAGAGACAGGAGTTTGAGACTAGTTAAGAGAACAAAGTGAGACAAGGAGAGTGAGACCAGGAGTATGTGTGACCTGGAGTGTGTAAGAGACAGGAGTGTGTGACATGAGTGTGTAAGTGACAGGAGTGTGTGTGACCTGGAGTGTGTAAGAGACAGGAGTGTGTGACATGAGTGTGTGAGACCAGGAGTGTGTAAGTGACAGGAGTGTGTAAGAGACACGAGTGTAGAGAATGGAGTGTTTGCGACAAGAAGAGTGAGACTAGGAGAGTGAGACAGGAGTGTAGAGAATGGAGTGTTTGAGACAATAAGAGTGAGACTAGGAGAGTGAGACATGAGTGTGTGACATGAGTGTGTGAGACCAGGAGTGTGTAAGAGACATGGGTTTGAGAC